TATTCTACGGAGAAGAAACAAAAGCTCAGAAATTTTACCAAAGTCAAAAAGCTAGTAAGGACAGGTCTTTAAACTTTCAGGCTAAGTTCCTTTTCACAACATTCTAATTTTTATTAAAAACAAAATAAAAAGACATGAGAATTGCTAGGAAATTTCTAGAGAATCAGATTACAACTGACCAAAAAATAAGAATATGTTTTATTTCTAAATCCTCATATTGCCCTAGCCGGTTTGGCTCAATGAACAGAGCAATGACCTGCGGACCGAAGGGTCCCAGGTTTGATTCCATTCACAGGATGTAGCTTGGCTGTAGCTCCTCCCCAGTCCCAGCCCTGGTCAGGGCACGAGCAGGAGGCAACCAATAGATGTGTTTCTCTCACATCAATATTTCTCTCTGTCTTTCTCTCTCTCTTCCACTCTCTCTGAAAATCAATGGAAAAATATCCTCAGGTGAGAATTAAAAATAATAATAATAAAGTTTCATAAATTGCCTTAACAAAGTATTTAAAAATAAATAATCCGCCTATAATATTTTGTTAAATCTGTGCTACATTATCTTTTTTAGCCACCACTTTCAAATCTAAGTTCACGATTCAACTAGGGGTGATTTAAGGCAATTGCAGAGGCCACTTAGATAACAGTTATAACCTCACTCACAATCAAATTATCAGGTGACAATAGAGTAATACCTTTTAAGATCAAACTAGGAATTACACAGTTCACCAAAGAAAACCAAACAGGGGTCCTTGGCCCTCTTTTCATTATATGTGTTCTCCTAGGTGACCTCATCTACCTACTCTCATGACCTATGTCATTTTCTATATACCAATAATCCCCAAACCAAGAATCAACATTTCTCCTTTGCTCCAAGTCTGAATTCCCAACTGTTTGGACATCCTATAAGCTCCTCACTGTCAACATCTTCAAATCAAACTAATTACATTTCCCATCATACTTGTCCCTTTCTTTTTTTTTTTTTTTTTTTTACATTTACAAATATTAAATTTATTGTAACTAGAATGAATTTAATGGTTCTCAGATTTGGCGACCTTATAGATCAGTTTGAGAGGGTTTTTAACAGAAAATGCATTGTAACTTGGTCAAATTACACATAAAAAAAAAAAAACTATAAAGAAAAGTAACGCATCCCTCAGTTTCACATAATTAAAGAACAGGAGAAAGCACGCAAGCTACAGCACAGCTAAATTTACCAAACCAACCGAAGCTGGGGGATTTTCTCTTCTGATTATGTGTCATAAAAACGTCCACTGTCTTATATACACATGTATATAATGTTTCAGTCCATCACTGTAAAAAGTCCCCTTTGTCCCTCCCCTCCAAAAAGTTTCAGTCTAGTCCCCAAACTTGGGACAGCGGCACCCGCTCCTGCTCCCGGTGCAGTTCGATCTCCGTCAGCAGCTGCAGGTTCTCAGCGCTCAGCCGGTCCAGGTCCAGGTCGCTGCTGCCCAGCCGCTTGCTTTCCAGCTGCAACCGGTTGTTCTCCTCCTCCATGCGAGAGAGGCACTTCTCCAGCTCCAGGTTCTCCCTGATGAGCTCCTGCTTGCTCATGTTCTGCAGGCTCTCCGCGTCTCCCGCTGCAGAAACTCGCTGCCGTCTGTCTCCTCCCATCCCGTTGCGGCCCGAATCCTCCTCACCCGCCTCTTCCATAAACTCTTCGTCGCTGATTTGGCCATTTGGCCACAGCAGGCTTGGGGTAGAAACCGGTTTTGAGGTCCGGCTCCTCCTGGTCATGATCATCCATGAGGAACTGCGTGGTGTTATAGGGCGGCCACCGGCTGGCCTTTGGCGAACATCTGGGCTCGAACCCCTCGAAGCTCGAAGACTCTGTTTCTCGTCGAACTTTCTCTTCTCCTCCCAAGTCAGCTTGTAGTACGGCTTCCAGCGCGGCTTCTTCTTGGAAGGGCGTCGCCTGTGTTTCTTCTTGCCCAGCTGTCTCTGCTGCTGTTTCCACGACTCCTCGCCTCCAGCGGCAGGAGCCCCCAACTTGTTGGCTTCGGAGTCATGACACGGTTGGGTGAGCGGCTTGGTCTCAGGCCGCTGTTCCCCTCCCGCTGGCGGCGGGGCGGTTCCGCCAGCGGACAAGTCATCTCCATTCTGGCCCTTTTCGTCCGCTTCTAGGCAGCGAGGTTCTGGACAGACCTGGAAGGAGACGGCTGGGGGTCCAGGCTCCCTTTCCCCTCTGGCCCTGGACGGGGGAGTGAGTGCTCTTGCTTGCCACCTACTGTCGTCCTCCGGCACCGGCTCCCCTGTCGGGGTTCCGCTCTTCGTGGACAGCATCAGCACCTGCATAGTTGCCAGTTTGAGGCTGGTGCTGAAATTCCGACACGAGTGGCTCGGTCATGGCAACAAGAGTCCTCAAAGTTTGAAGAATTTTGGCTGCAGGTCCTTGAAAAAAAAGAGGTTTTTCTTTTCTTGAAGAAAAAAATGCCCAACAGATTCCACTTCGGTAATTCCTGCAGTGATGCCTTCAGCTGGTCCTTTCAGCAAACTCCAATTGCAACTTGGGGGCGCTTAAGTCAGTAAAGGGTTAAGCGCCGCCTTGGATCAGCTAAGTAGGTCCAAAGGGGTGCAGCAGCAGGAACAGCACGTAATGTACGAAGGGGGTCGGCCTCGAGCCTCCCTGCAGAGCGCCCCCCATGATGGAGGAATTGGTGGGCTAGATGAGGTTAAGTCCAGTGGGTTAAACTCAGCCCCGAAGGGGTTAAAACTACCCGATGACGCTGCCTCTGAGGGGCCGGACCCACAAAGGGTTAAATCCCCTGCCACAGAGCTCACAAGGGGTTAAGGTCCCAGAGCCACCTCCTCCCACTTCCACCCGAGCTCCCAGTTCCTTAGGCCAGGCTGGAGCCTCATCCGAGGACAAACTCATCTCCCCTTTGGCTCAATGCTCTGCTCTGCTCTGCTCAGTTCTCCTCTCTTCCTCCCTCCCTCCCCCCGCTGCCCCTCCCAATCTGCCTCCCCACCTGCCAACTTCCAACTGCTTACTTGTCCCTTTCTTTTGTTTCCTATCATCATCATTCTCCTAATCACATAAGATAGTAATATTTGATTCCATAATTATCACCACCATCCAATCAGTCACCAAGTTCTTTGGATTCTGCCTCCTAAATTCCTCATCTTCATCCTTACTGTCACTGCTTTCATATGAACCCCCCTCATCATCTCTCACCTGGAAAACTGCAATTGCTTCCTAATTGGTCTCTCTACTGTTCACCCCATTTGATTGATCACCTATCCAATTAAAAAATCATCTTTCTAAAATATAATCAAGTCACACTCAGCTTAAAAACATTTGATGGTTTCCCAGC